GTGTGCAATTACCTAGTCACAAGTACATATTAAATTACACACTTTGTTGAAGAATTTACTATTGTGTTATAATAATACAATAAATAATGATTCTATTTTTGTTAATTTTCTTATTTCTTAGTTACCACTTATGTTTTATAGTTTTATTATTATGGTTGACCATTGATTAATAATTGCAAAGTTCAACTGCATTCCATTGGTATCACATGTTGCAAAATAGCCATTAGTACTTCTTTTAGCAGTACTTTAACGTATCAAAACAGAGCCAGTGAGAATTCTATTGCTTCACTACAAACTTGTCAGATCTCATTGGAATAATTAAAGGCTGTAGCACTTCAATAAAAGACACTAGGATTATTGAAAAATTCTTTACTAACATAACACAATGCAGTGTGATGTAATGAAAATTAATTATGTTTTTTCTAAATAATGATAATAATAATAATTAAGGAGGTGTGCCAAACCAGTGGTTATAGCTGTCAAAATTTTAGCCAGAATCAACTCAGACTTTTCTACATAGCATAAGGACATCATTGTGCATCGAAAATGTACTAAAAATGACATCAGTTCAGTAAAACTAGCCCCATTATAATTTATACCGTGTATATAATAAAAACAATTATTATGCATCAACAGCTCATCTAAAGTCACTGTTATTGGCCTCGCCTACGCGAGGTATAGGTAGTTGTTGTGTCTGTCTGTCTGTCATTCATTCATTCTGTACAACTGAAATTTGTCTTTAATAAACAATAACTTTAGCACAGCGTGTTCTAAGCTCCTAGATCTTTCTTTTTGACTTGGAAAAGTCTTTCTTAACTGTTTTGTGTTGCTCAAATACAAGTGCTAGGTACAGAAGCTTCAACTGAAGTAAGAAAATCGAGTAGTTGAGCCAAGTTCCGTTGTGTTGGAACTTTAGAGATAGCTGGTAGCATTTTTCAGTAGATTAGAACATGGCCTTCAAATAATATGAACAGATTTCTCTAAATCTTACTTGAAGAAGAGTTATACTTACTTGAAATTATTGAGGTCACTCGTTTGTGAAGCGCTAGAGCAACAGCTTGGTGGGTTATAGGTACTAAAGCAGTGGCGTAGCCAGGATTTTTGAAAAGAGGGGGCAAGCTGTGCGGCGCGCGAAGCGCGCCGCGAAATTTTGCGGAACCACGCCCTTTTAAGGCGTTGCCACACCTATTTTTCAACATGGCGGACTTCTTGACCGATCATAAGCAACGTTGAATACCTTTTCAGCCTTATAATGGCATCATAGAAAGACTGCTTTGGCCTTTTCCTTTCATATGTAAGTTTTAGAACAGCTTTTCCTTCCAAAAGCAGCTTATTATTTGATTATTTTTAAATTTTGAGTTTAAAAAAAGGGGGGGCAATTGCCCCCCTTGCCCCCCCCTGGCTACGCCCCTGGTACAGACTGTATCTACTCACAGTGACCCATTCACTGTTACTCACATTGTTCCAATGCTCCAAGCAGCTGCCCCAGTATACCCCAGCTGCCTACAGGCTCTATCAGCCATGATCTTATAATCACCATAGTACGAGTAAGCACTGAGAGAGCCCCATGATCCCCTGATGTATATCTCCAGTCTACCCTCCGATGGATACTGCCCATCGACCAGTCTCACCTGACCGATGTAGTAGTTAACGGTGGAGTATGCTGGTGGGCATTAAATAGAATAGGTGAGCATTAAATAGAGTATACTATACTTACAGCAATTAACTGAGAGTGATTGTGTACAGTAAGTTACTTCTCTTGGACACCATAAGATATGGGGTTGTCCTGATCTACAGCGAGGACTGTACTGTCTACTGTCACCAGTGGAACTACAAGAAATAACAATAAACTAATTAATGTACGTGTATAGATGTGTCCTTACACTAGTGTGTAATTGTTAAGCTGATCGTATCCCAGCTGCTTGCAGAGTGTCATTGCATTAAACAGATCAAAAGAAGTTGATCCACAAACATTCAACCATTCCTTATTTAGAGTATCATTACCCTCCCCATAAGACACTTGGACCACACCCACTGAACTAGAACCAACCACAGTCAACTGACGAACCTCTCCTAATCTAGGCCTCACTGGAAATAATAATAATAATAGTTAATTATTTAAT